AGGTACCCACACGTGACTAAATGACAAACAGATAAGCATAATATTTACAACCTCACCTATAATAAAAGGCCTTATAGGGGGCCCTGTTTTTGCCTCAGTCACTGTTGTGACTGTTTATAATCAACCCAAGAAACATAGCTGAAGAAAAGAAATGGCTGTGCAGAGCTCAACCTGTATTGATGACGCGTTTTTTTCTTTGCACAAGCTGACACGCCTGTATCCTGACCAATGGTGTAACCGCTCGGCTCATGATGGCACAAAACAATTTAGCCGTTTCCTCAGAGGTTACAGCTTTGTAGGAATCAATAAAAATGTTCCCAAAGCTGTTCCGGTGCCAAGTTTATTATGCAACAAGTCCTGCAGAACAAGGTCAGGAGGCCCTTAGAATGTCTCACCTTTGTGATTTGAAGCAAATTAAACATTACTTGAAAGCCTCCATCTAAATAAGCAAAATAAATCAGCCTGAGGGGGATTCTTTTACACTTGTCAACATTTGAAATGGATCAGGTTGTCCCAAAACCTAAAACGCGTTCTTGTCTTTTGATCCGCTTCAAATGTTGACTACTGTAGATTGGAGGAGCTGCGTCTGATCAGCACGAGTCTTGAACGAACACATTAATCTTTACGCAACAAACTGCACACATAACATTCTGGTAATATTGTTATCCACGTCTGATAATTGCAAAGCATGCTCACTCCAGACCAAGGGTGTGCATGAAAGTCACATGTCGCGGTCAGCGCAGGAAGTGAGCAGGCCTGTCGTCATCATGCATAGTGACCCTATTATCCATAATGATTGAGAGTGTGTGCGGAACGTGTGAAATGCATGTGAGTTTAATGGGTTTAGCTTGACGTCTTTGACAAGACTATGCGGTTTGGCTAATGCATGCATCAGTCCTTTTATTAGTTCCTTATTATTGATTAAGAAGGCCACAAGCTCAGTTGAGACAAGTCATGAGCAAAATCTGGCAGATCTAGAATTTTCCAAGCTTCAATATCGATTAATATCTACAGATTGTCACAGGAGTGCGTAACTGAGAATCTGCAGAAATGTGAAATTGAATGAAGAATGGCTTTTATGGCAGAATCAAGTGTAGTCAAAGATAGGAAATAAAACAGTCCAGTACCAAATGGGCCACAACTCTTACTGGCATTTCCTGAACTGACAAGCACTGAGATGTTTTTGTGTGATCTATGTGAAAAAGGCCGGTCCAGTAAGAATCTTGACTGAGAAACATTGTTGGATTTGTCTATAATGTTACTTAATAAATGTGTGGGTCAGTTTGACTGCAGAAATTCACTGCCAGACATATTTGGACTCGGACCAAAGCAAATGTAAACTTTAACTTGGTTTTTCTCTCACAGCCTTTCATTAAACTTCCTGTGCAGCAAACACTGAGCCTTAGTAATTATACAGACAGGTCCAAAAGCCAATCTTGAACGGCTTCTATTTGGCATTTTTGTTAATTTAGTGCAGATTATTTAAAATGAAAAAAGTTTTTCAGCACCTTTCGAAGAGGAAGAACTTTGAGAAACATATGAGGAAATTTTGGACATTATAAAAGTGATGCAATAGGAAGAGGGGGTCATAAAGGGGTCTTATGATACGATTTCAATTCTTCCTTTCTCTTTGGAGTGTTACAAGCTCTTGGTGCATAAAGAAGATCTGTAAAGTTGCAAAGACTAAAGTCAAAGCACTTTATTTGGCCTTCTGAAAGTAGATGCATTTAGGAATCTTTAAGATTACTTACAACAGAACAGCAATGCATTTTATGGACGACCGTTTCGTGAACCTAGGAGAGGAGGTAATTCTGACTTTGCTATGACAATCTGGCGCTTCTGAATCAGCTACTGTTTTGTTATTAGTTTAAGTATTTGCTATTGACTGTTCAAATGTGGAGTTTTGCGCAACACAGGGTAACGCGTTGTGTGTGTGTGTGTGAGGGGAACAGGGTCACATCACAGGAGAGTGAACTGCCTGTCAGAAATCATAGCACGTCAGCTGTCTTAACCGCGGCTTGTGTACTGCATCATCACTGTGTCTGTCACGCGACTCTGTTGCCCTTTCGGGCTTGAACTGATGGTAAAACTAACGACATTATTAACTGTCTTGATATTTACTTTGAAAGCTGAAGCTGCGATTATGGTAAGGGGCGTTACATTTCCGACGCGTGCTTGTGGTGTTCGGCCAATCACAATGCACTGGGTCAGCTGGCCAATCAGAGCAGACTACGCTTGTCGGAAGGAGGGGCTTTGTTGAAAACGACGTGTTTGAGAGAGGCGGGGCATAGAGGACCTACAATAATGTACAGTATTTGAAAAATAATGTGTTTTTTGAACATTAAAGCATGTCAACATATTCTGTTATACCAAATACACAAAATAATGATCTTTAAAATAGCATCATATGACCCCTTTAAACAAGTAGACATCAAGTTTTGTCTTTTTATTCAACTTTTTACAGTAACACCAATCAGGTTTTTCAGCTCATTGTGCTTTATCATTCTTATGAAAAAATCATCAGAGTCGTCTCGACTGTCACCTTATATCAGAATGTGGACACTGTGCCAACTTTCCCTTTCTTTATGTAATCTCTCTATCACCCTCATTAGGAAAGAGTGGGTTGAAAAGAGACAAAAATAAGGAAATGGGAGATAAGCCATGATAAGTTTTATCGATACGGAATTCTTTTATGTCCACCATAAAACACTTTCCATCACTTTAAGACTTTGTCAATAACAGAAACTTGCTGGAATTTAGTTTTAACATGTCGCATCAAACCCATTATGAAACTCACCCAGTTGCAAGAATACAGGCCTCATTTAGCGTTATTAAATTCCAAACGGAGAACTCGGATAAAAGCGGCAGACATATTATCGTGTGCAAACACTGTTTATTTGAACAAATATGTAGGCCAAGGCCCTGTACGGGTCAGTCAACACATAATAGATACATGAAGTGAAGGAACTGCGGCACGTCAGCGATTGGCACATATAGAGGGTGGTGCGATGCTGGTGGTGTTTAGTGTCGATTTGAGAATAAAAGTGAATGTCCTGTAAGTCCCCGCCTCAACTCTGAGTTTAACAGCCTGTTTTCTTCAATTACCATTGCATAACACTTCATGCTTTTTGCAAGTCATTGTATACTAAGGCATCAGTTGGGTTACTGATGTAATGAACACATTCAAAGACAAATATCCCTAAAAGGGCTCATTCTCTTCCTATTATAGAATTCAGAAATAATTCATTTACTTAACATTGTTCAAAAACCATTCTTTCATCCACGCTATTCAATGAAGATGCATCACGACATCGACGATGCTGAATTGCACTGGTCCTCTGCTTTTACAGTATGGAAGACAGCAGCTTGGACAAGCAAACATTGCAAAATCTCTTCTTTTGTACTCTATGGGAGAAAGTTAATCATTGATAATGGGAAACAGACTGTACTTAACATAACATTACGTAAATTTAGAACACAGAGTTTTCTCTGTTTGACAGCAGCAATGGGGAGGTTGACATTGGCTGCGGTTCTTGCTGTCAAGAGTTGTTCATGCTCTCGCTTTACTCACAGACATAAATTGGTTATGTGAGAACGTATCTGGAGAATCTCACTGCAGTGTCATGCGTGAAACCTGCGACATTCACTTTGGTCCTCACAAGAGTGAACTTGAAGGCCTTTATTGTTGTAAGTAACATGCTCCTCCTGAAACGGAAAATTAGATGAGGTATTTGAAGGGACGTGCCGTTTCGTATTATGTCAAATGAGTTAAAATGCAAAATGCAAACCTGTCCATGTCCTGCATGTAAGAGAGATAAAGATAACTAGATAAAAAAGTTCGTCGAGACAAACTTTAAGTTGGCTTGAGAAAGCTGGACCAGAAAGTTAGAAAAAGTTTGAAAAGTTTAAGAAGTTTAAAAAGTTGATGGTTTTCAGTCTGAAATAGTTTGAAGTTTAAAGTAGTTTTAAAAGCTTAAAGTTTGATTGTTTTGAAGGCAATACAGTCTGTCAGAAATGCAGCTGCTAGAATACCCATGTGGTTGCTAAGGTGTAGCTATTCGGTTGCAAGGGTACTTGGGGTGGTTTTTAGAGCGGTTGCTAGGGTAACCGGGATGGTTGCTAGGGTGTTGCTATGCAGTTGCTAGGGTACCCGGGGTGGTAACAAACCTAAAAAGACAGATTGAATGTATGTGATGCTATCTGACAGTGAATGTGGGATCTTTATGAAATCAATCCAAGATGGTTTTATTTATACAGAGCTTTAAAAAATGTACATTGCTTCAAAGCTGCTTTACTGAAAAAATATTTCAGTATTAATATCTGAAATAGATACGTGCAATAACATACAGATAAAGTAATGGCAGCTGTGAATGTGCTGATAAGGATATTGAGATAAGATAATAGGTGAATTATGTCTGAAAGGAACAGATAAGGTTCTCAATCATTGTTTTCTACCTGATAAATGCAATCAAAAAGGACAACAAACAAAAGTTCTTAAAATCACGTTTTTGCTTGTATTGGAGACTCTTAACCCATTTATCAGGGGTCTCTGAGACAGGACTGGATATTTCAGTCTTACTTATGGACTGTGTGACTAAGATAGTCATAACATTCCTAAATCATAACATTAAAAATTTCAGCTAAAGAATTTCTCATAATTTTGAACGGGAAAAAAAGTGGCCATTTACTCATCTCCATGTTGTCCCAAACCTATTTCTTCCACTGAACATAAAAGGAAATGTTCTGAAGAGTGCAGATCTTCTGAAATACAACAGTTGGCTGAAGAACTGCAAGAATCGTTTACTGATAATATTCCCCTCCAAGCTATTGCATTCTGAACATTTTGTACCTTCATTTTCCAACCCTTTGACCCTACCTCAGGTAAAAATGGGCGAAGGTCCATCTGACATCCAGTCATTCTGGTTCTACTTGACAAACCCTTGAAAATGTGGAGGTGAAAAGCACAAGACTCCTGAGATGCATGTACAACTCTTTACGTTGCATGTTTAGTTCAGCCAATCATCACCATTTGTTAGTTTGGAAATAAATATGGTTATATTGCACATTTATTTATTTAGATTTCCCCCCAATATGTGTAAAAGTGTGTAAATATTTTAGTGTGAGAAAAAAAAAGCTATTTTATTAAATCAAGGTCAAATGCATTACATTTTGGGATACAGTAATCAGTGCAGTGTTCTGTATGTTCTAAGCATACCACAAATTTGCACTGTGCACTGTATACATATGGCAGGAATAGTAAGTGTGCTAATACAAACTTACATTCCCTAGTTGTCCCAACGCTCTTGATTCTGCCCATACTGGAGATGAACTGTGCAGCACTGCCCTCTACTGGATATATTCATTCATAGATCATTGCTGAGCTTTTCAGTGTAGGCAGAGGATTTGGAAAGCAATGAAAAGAAATCCAAATCAACCAGGTTAAAAAGTGAATTTAATATGCATTTTAAAGAAAATAATTCTTTAGGTGCTGATATTGTTTTTCAGTCATACAATGCATGCACAGTTATTAGCAAAATGCTGTTTAAAACAGTTTTAGATGAACGGATGCCATAGCATGTCACACTCAAGAACATGTGTGCTTCCCACAAGCATTAATGCCAAGTTGTCAAATACTCTAATGTCAGAAGACAGAATGCATGACAAAATATCACCCACTACTAAATAAAAGTCTTTGTTTTAAAATGGAAGAAAAGGGACACCTACCAGTTAGAATGGTCTCTTTAATAACCACAGGAGGGCTCTAGAGCCAAGGGTTCCTAAGAGACCATGCATCTGATTGCAGGAATGGAAGAACACGATGGAGAATCCCTTGGCTGAACCATGAGGCCAGCTGTGAGTTACAGGAGTTAACACACTCAGAGCACTGATTACTCTAATAAAACTTCTCACGCTGATTGTCCAAATAAAACTTCCCTCACTGGGAAGGCATAAAACTTCACCGAGCGGCTCCCTTGGACAGAAAATGGGCACCACTATCCCAGACATAGTGGTAATGGTTTCCTCTCTTTCTTTGAATAAAAATTCTGAATGAAAGTCTCTGCACAGTGTGTGTGTGTGTGTGTGTGTGTGCCTGTTTTTCTATTCTGGTGGGGACTTAAACCTGAATACACACAGACTCATGGGGACTCGTGTCACGGTGGGGACCTAAATTGAGGTCCCCACGGGTAAACAAGCTAATAATTCATACAGAATGAAGTTTTTTGAAAATCTAAAAATGCAGAAAGTTTCCTGTGAGGGGTAGGTTTAGGGGTAGGGTTGGTGTAGGGCAATAGAATATACGGTCTGTACAGTAGAAAAACCATTACGCCTATGGAGAGTCCCCACAAGGATAGCAAACCAGACATGTGTGTGTGTGTGTGTGTGTGTGTGTGGACTGGACTACAAAAAGCACTGAAACTCATGAGGTATGAAAAAGTTGTAGCTAGACTGAACAGAGAAAAAATGTGTGATACTGAATTGAATATCAACAGCTCAAAAGGGGACCCTTGAGAGAGAGAAACAGCGAGAGAGACGGAAGTTGAGTGGGAAAAAGAACACCATGTGTTCAGTAAACAAACTAAGTGTGATGCCAGAGAAAAGGGTCAACAAAAGAGAAGAAACAGAACAGAAGAAAAAGTCTCTTCCGACAGAGCCGTCCAGCCAAAAAGAGTCCTGACCGACTTACTTCACCTCTGCTTTCTTTTCGTGCCCCATCCTGTTCTCTTCCATCCATGCTTTCTTCTCTTGTGTATCTACATCCTCTCATTTGCATCTTACATCCCTGAGTGACAGATTAGCCTACCTTACTTTCCATATTATATTATTATTTTATTTATTTATTTTTGATAGGCTATTATTTTATTGTTTTGCTTTTCAGTTTATTCAGATGCCACATTTAAGTTAGCCTACATAGTTTTACATCACTAGATTTAATTCTCAAAACAATTAAAAACTTATCCAACCGAGTTCTTCTGGTTTAAGAAAATCGCACGCTTTGGCAGGTGGGCGGGAAATCAAGATTAACGCGCGTGTGAAAAAGCCCCGCGCAAAATGTCTCGGCACAAACCGGATTGTACCGCCGTCCGCGTTAAGATTTATGTGTCTGGTCCGTCTAGGGCACGCGGTAAATTTAACTTCCGCCACAACAAGCTTCGGTTTTAGGTCGTCCAGCCTTCAGAAATAACCTTTAGAGTGTAAATAATTAAATGTCATTAGTTTTATATGATAGCCGCTTGTTAAATGTACGCCCGATAATTTAGACGCCAGCAACACCGATACCGTGAACAAGACTTTCCTAAACAGAAATTAAAAAGCAGCACGAGCTTTTAAGTGAAAGATAACATTTTTTTTTTTTACTTATGTAGCCTAATATATAACTGTTGACTTTCGTATTGTGAAGTTAAAAAGACAAATTGCACCAAATGCCACAAAAGTCAAATCAAGTCATAGGCCTTTTTGGGAATGAAAAGCTGAGAGAAAGTCATACAATCTGTTCAAAAGAACAACATGCAAGCATTCTGCTAATGCAACATTTTTATATATATATACACACACACACACACACATACATATTCTACACAAACAAATACATAATCGTGACATTTTTTGGGGCGGCTGTGAAAATAAGACATAGCTTCGACCCTTTCACAACCCATTCAGCTTCTATTCTTTACAGACTTGTTTTTATTCGCGAAAAAAGAAAAGAAAGAAATATGCAATCTATAGTCTACACTCTAAAAAATGCTGGGTCGTTTCAACCCAACTTTGGGTCAAATATGGACTAACCCAGCTGTTGGGTTTAATTTTTCAATTAAAATTTTAACCCAAAAGTTGGGTTAGTCCATATTTGACACAAAGTTGGGTTGAAATAACCCAGGATTTTTTAGAGTGTACCCTAAAACCTTAAAATAATAATAAAAATAAATAAATAAATAAAAATAATTTCTCTCTCCGCCTTATACTTAAGTTAAAATATTCATCTTGTATCTTTTGTTGGTAATTT